AGTATTTCCTCTTTTAAATTAAAATAAAGCATTGGCATTTGGTGTTTATCAATCATTGAACCGTTAGTCAACTGCCTAACTTCTATTTAAAAAGTGTAAATTATTACTATAATCGTAATCATGAGGTAATCTGTATTGTTAAATTAAATCCAGTTCAGGTATTAAAACGTTGATTACGTCACTGTACAAAATTTTACTTAAAACTGGACTTGAGGCTTAAGAACGAATTGCATCAGTGAAAACTACACCGTGATTTTTGGTCAATTTTGTACAATATTCCATATTCAACTATTTTAATATATACAGGGCGCGTTCCACATTTTTCTGATCTGACGGGATTTGAACCTTGGCAAAACTTGTACAAACTAGAGTGGGTGGATGATTTGGGGAGCCGGACCATAGTCAACCATAATGGGGGGTCTTAAAGAGAAACCAGACTAAGACAAGTCTTCTTTCAGTACTCGGGTGGCAGAGATCACGAGAATCGGTATGGCACTCTGATGCATAATACTTTTTTTTTATGTTTTCGAGGAAGAGGGGAAATCTTCAAAAGACACCCAGCCATCCGTACGACTGGGTAGTGTCGGATTCCCGAGGAAGATGTCCTCGGACCTACCGACTAAAACCCCTCTACCTCAGGCGGTTCTAGGACCAAATAAGGTCCTCTTCAGCCGGTGTGATTATGGTAATGTTATATGATCAAGTTTTGGGGCACAATACTGCGATGTGGAAGGAAACGGGAAACCACCACATTATGACATCCCAAGTAAAACACACCAAACTAAAATGATGGCGTCCTCTAGGATAAAGCGCTCCGTACGTGAACTAGTCCCCCACTTGGATGTCCGGGCAGGGACTACCTCGGGGGATGTCATCAATAAGTGCAATATTCAACGAGTCGGAGCGTGGAATGTTAGGACAATGAGGCAAGTAGGGAAATAGGAAAATTTACTGTTCGCAAATAGTTAAGGATGTGGGTTGTTCTAGTTTTAGGGAAATGCGAAAATTAGCTCAGGATAGGAAAGAGTAGTTAAAGTGTCCAAGTAGCCTTAGGACTGACGACCTTATGATGATGATGCTGTACTTAAATTGTAAAATTATTTTGTTTATTTTCAACAAGACAGAACCTTTTTACTATAATGAATAATTACTTTGAAATCACATTTGTAAATTAAATTAGAAAACGATTTGGAATATTTAGCTCTAATTTATTTGAATTCATAAAAATGTTTCCTATATTTCATTGCCATTAGACTACTTCTAATAATAAGCGTTTTTTTATCAATTCGGTTTTTATTTTCGTACACCAAATTCATGTTAACTAATTCAAGATGCCTGTACTTATACGTTTCAATTTTAAACTGAACAACTTAAGAAAAATTCTTAGAAGACGGAATAAGTGACAGACTTTGTAATTTCAAAAAAATAACGTAACGAGTACGTTTTCTTAATAAAACTGTCCAAAAAGATAGTAAATTTCTAAGTTGCTCACTATTATTAAATTTAGCAAAAGAAAACTTAAATAATTCTCTTCAAAATCTACGTGACTGAATAAACTTAACCGATGTACCGGTCATACGCACCCACCGTTTATTAAAACAATAAATTTATTAGCAATAAATAAAAAATAAGGAAATTAGATCTTAGTGTCAATGAAACTTTGAACTGATTAAATTGTTTTTAATTATCCCTAACATTTTTTTTTCGTCTATTGTTTTTGTAAACAACTTTTCCGTCACGTACAGTTCGGTCGATAATAATTATCATTAAAAGCTTGGAAGGTATGAAAACAATAAATTGTTTGGCTAATACACAAGTAAAGTTGTAAAATTAGATTGGTATTTCGTGCAATAATGAGATTATCAGTCTCAAAAATGTGTTTTTGTTGAACTTATGTGAGATTAGTCTCAAGGTATTAAAATTGGAAAAAGTCAATTACCTTTGTTTAATAGAACGTAGTTTCGGGTGGGTCGAGGCATTTTCATCTGGAAATTGGTACCCCTGACCCATAAATACCGGAGTAGACGGTAAGCCCAAACCTGGACCAGTAGCAAGAAACCTAGCATTGGCTTGTCAATTCTAGACCAATGTTCGTTCTATTACCGTTTCGCCATAATGGGCGATGAAGTTTTGGGCAAGGGAGTAAAAGAAAATTGTACTTTTGAAAGGAAGTATTTTATTATTTAAGTTCTACAATAGATATTGGTGTCATCAAAATCAATAATTTTGCAAAAAATTAGTATCGCAGAACATTTCAAACATTACAAAATAAGTGTAATAAATTTCCTTGTTTAAACGCCGATAAGATTAACTACACTTAACCCTAGACAAAACATTTGCTGCCCAATCGGATTAATTTTGTTCATTGTTATTGGTATAACTGCCCTGTCGTGGGCCAAGCTTACCATCCAGAGTTGGGCCGAATTGACAAACCGCATATTTGTCTTGCTTGGTCAAATGTTAGACAATTTTGGACCAAGCTTGGATCGAGCTTGGCTTGTCAAGGAATTTATTAATTTTAAATTTGTGAATTCTATACACTGTCGCACCCTTTTTTTGCAGAGAGTTCTGAGGGATAAAGAGTTCTAAAGTACCTGATAGTTTTTGCAGAGTTCTGCAAAATTCGATGATTTTGAAAAGATTCTTTTCCAAGTCTTAGCCGGAGTTCTGGGCTCTCCCGAAAGAGTTGTAGCGATAAAATGTTCTTGTACTTTCGGGAGAACTCGATTGTTATAATGTTAATTGAAAAATAGGGCCAATATTAGGTCAAAGTATGTAACGTTGAATATAAACTAAGAAAATCCATTTTGACAGTACATCCTAGTAACAATGCTCTCGTTTATGAGCTATATAAAATTAGGTCCTTCACTATAAATTGGCTACAAAATATGATACAAATTAGAAGCTTGAGATTATCCTGTACAAAATGAATTCCTTCACTACAAATTAGGTATGTATATACAAAATATGATGAAAATTAGAGCCAGAGATCGAATGATTGTGGAACAAATATAAGGATCGAATAGCATATCATGGCAGATTATCTGATTTTTCGAGATTTGAGCTACAATTGACTTATAGTTTAGATGCGAGGGTTGAATATGTGATCTGCTAGCATACACCTTTCATTTTTTTTTGTATTACTCTAAATTCTACTTAAATGTTAAAATTTATTAATCTTCGAAAACGTCAGTATTTTCAGTTCATTAACTATTTGAATTTAGTGTCCGGTAATCCATAATGCCAGGAACCCCAGGACGTTGACTTTGTTCTGGAAACTTGAAAAAAAGCATTATTTATTTGCACCTGAGTTGTTGCTCAGTCCATTCCTTTTCACCTGACAGTCTAGACTCTAGACGGATATACTAACTGTTATATTCTGGCACTAACCCAGTTTCAGTAACTGAGGCACTTTTACTTGTCATGCAAGGACGTCCTTGCAAAGACTTAACTGGCGTAAGCGATCAGTAGCAATGCGGTGCTTTGAATTACAATAATGCCACGAAAGTAAGTAATAAATGCACTCAAAAGAAAGAATTAACAGGATTCGTTTCAATACTTTTGCGGAATTGTATTACCTATCCACAAAATATCTAATATTACGAAATACGACAATCAATTTGAATTTCTTATTTTTATAAGTAAATAAATAATAAGAAGTTGAATAAACTGTCTTCATCATCATTATAAGGTCATCAGCCCTAAGGCTGGTTGGAGACGTACCTCCACTCTTTCCTATCCTGAGCTAATCTTCGCATTTCCCTAAAACTAGAACAACCGACATCCTTAACTATTTGCGAACAGTAATCTAAGCGAAGTCTACCTCTACCCCTCCTAACTCCTGTTTCTGCTTCTAATATGTCTCTGACTAGACATCTATGCCTGAGAAGGTGTCCTACCAACCTATCTTACCTATTTCTTATTGACTTCCATAGAGTCCTCTGTTCTCCTATTCTTTCTAATACCTCTTCATTTCTAACCTTTTCTATCCACGTTATCCTCATCATTTGCCATTATTATTGATGACATATCCCGAGGTAGTCCCACCCCGACATCGAATGGGGGACTAGTTTACGTCCGGAGTGCTTTACCAATGAGGACGCCATCATTTAATTTGTATAGTAAATTTTACTCGGGATCATAATGTGGTGGTTTTCCGTTGCCTTCCACATTACAATATTGTGCATCAGAGTGCCACCCTGTGTTCTGAAAGAGCTGCTGCTCTCAGGGACAGTCTGGTTTCTCTTTAAGAATCCCCTATTATGGTTGAACCTATGGTTCGGCTTCCTAGTCTAGTTTGTACTAAAATAAATTTGAAGTGTCTAAACTACAAAGACAGCTTTCATTCCTGCAACCAGGAAAAGTCGTACTTTCGGGAAATAGGATATGATAAAAAGGTCGTAATCTTGCATAGGAAAGAAAGTACGTACGATACCCCGTCTGGGTGGTATGCCTCCGTCGACCATTTTGGCCAAAGCATAAAAAATATGTCGCCCAACGTGGGGCTCGAACCCACGACCCTGAGATTAAGAGTCTCATGCTCTACCGACTGAGCTAGCCGGGCACCTGACGAAACTTTCCTTACATTAAGTTTTATTGGACGTATCCTATTAGAATGTGTTTTTTATAATTCTTTAATTATTTTATTTGAGTTTAACTTCGTTAATTTCATACAAATGATCTCTTAGTTTCAACGAATAAATTGCATTTCATTTTACTTATAGTTTACTGTAATTTTCAATTTGTTATAATTTAAAGGAACCTATCTAATTTAATAAGTTTACTATAAAATCTACTATATAAAAAATTAAATCAATCTGTAAATTCCTTTTTCTAAGAATACAGTTCTAATTAACCTGATTATAGTAATCTTCGTACAATACTTCTCGTTAATAGATGGAGGGATCCTATCAACAATTTAAATTGACGACAGATGTCCCAAGTATTAACAATTTTTGTTAAAGTCCAACCTTTGTAGATCTATTATCTATGAGTCCAACTTTGTCGTGTTTATTCGTCTGTCATGATGTGAAATTTGTTCCATCTATGTGTCGGTTTCATGTCGAGTTTTGTGTGCTCTTCAGTTTCATTGTACGTTAAAATGTTTATTTGTAGATAATTAGTGTGACCAAGTGTACATAAATAAATTATTAAGTTTTTTATAAGTCTTCTAAGCTTCTTCTATACGTAAATTGTTGCTCAAATATTTTCCTGCACCGAGGAAATAATTTTTCAATGTTATGGTCGTAGTTCCACATACTTGGAAGAAAAATTCTCACTTTCACGTACCTTCTGCTTTTGAAGACTTTAGAAACAATTTTCAATCGAAAATAGGTGAGTTTTGTATTATTTCTTTTTAGTTATTGTTATAGAAGAAATAAATATCTAGAAAATAGAAATATCTACAGCCTATGGATAGAGATAATAAAACAACTATTTGTAGCTGGTACTGGAAAACTTGTTTACGTTTGTTATTATTATATTATTTTCTATTAATTGAGGTGATTCATAGATGACGTACATACCTATGTGGTTTTTACAAGCAAAATATTTTATTCAAAGTTATTGTTTGCATGTGTACTTAATATTTAAAATACTTTTTCATAATACCCTTTCATCAGTAAATACTGTATAAAAATTACATAACTATTTTACAGTTTTACCTTGAATGAATATTTGGGTAAAAAGCTTGTTGTTCAATTTTGTTTGTCCAGTATTTTAGCCTTCACTATACCGTTATAGTTATCTTAAAGTATATATAGATGGAACCACAATAAATAGTACGTATACATAAATATAAATCTATAACAAGAGTAGCCTACCAACTTTTGTGGCACCAGAAACAAAAATTTTATAATAGCTTTTTGGTTTTGGTAGGTAAACTATATGATAAAACAATTATTATTACGTCGATTTACATCTGTGTAGGAATAAAAATTACGTAGACTATTAAAAAAAGAAAAAAATTACTGTCAGTCAAGGTTCTTCTTTTAGTTACAGCATTAATACCAATATCCTACTAAATAGAATATTATAATGCATCCCAATTTATAGTTTATGTCACAATTTCTTACTTTTATTTCTTGACAATATTTATACTTTCTTACCAATAAAACTATTTTGTACTTTTGTACAGTTTGATGCACTTGCATATTTAT